TAGTGGGCATGGATGATGGTTGGACTCAATGATCTTGAAGGTCTTTTCCAACCTAAATGATTCTATGATTCTAAGAGATCACTTCAAAATCACAGGGCTGGACAGGAGGTAAAGTAGGAAAGGGTGCAGGAAGGAAACAAGAACGCGCGAGTGCTTGTGGAGCAGGGCATGAAGAAAGGGAGCAAATGTGAGGAGCACTATGAAACCTTGGATCATTTGAGAATCACAGTATACAAATAAAATATGGAAAAAGCATTTTTGGCTCAGTTAAAACATACTTTTTAGCAGTAAGGGCCACTTTGACAACTGTAGAAGTGTAAAAAACACACAGTTGAGGAAACACGCAGCCATTAAGTATTTTAGAAATGCCATATTAAATATAAACTACTGTGGCTACATTGCTTGTCAGTTAATGTCACTCTGCACTGGACAGCAAACCTAGAAAAATAAGGTGTAGAAAGAGTAAGTTTATAGAAACTTACCCACTACAGGATGAGTTAGAGGACTCAGGAAGACCAACCATCACCCACAATACAGGTGCATTTTAAATAAAGCCAATGTCTGATCATTAAGCATGTAGGGGAGGAGGGAATACCTGAGTAATGGGAAAACCCAGTATCTGTGTTACAAGGGCATACTGGTGAGTGCAGGGCTAATACAGCCAGCATTCACCCCATCTTGCCAGCTCAGCACACTCCTTGTCGGCAGAGATGCCTCCCTCTGCAGCGGCCCAGCTATGCCTGAGCCAGGCTGGTGCTCCTGGAGGGCTCACAGCCAGAACTGCCTGCAGAAAAGAAGTCATACAGTGCCCAGAACCTCAAAAAAGGGAGAAAACAGTATCAAACCTGAAGCTGAGAAATTCTGTACAGATAAAAACACTCAGGAGTGCATGCCATTGTTCACAGGGACACAACAGTAGGTAATAAGCTTCTTTTTATACAATCAGTGAGTGACTTAATGCACACGAATTCATGTGCTGCAAGCCCAAGTTTTAACAAAGTGTAGAACTGGCAAACTAATTAACCAATTTACATTAACCTCTCTGAGTAATTCAGATTATTCTCAGAGAACATGCCAAAAAATCTGGGGCAAGGAAGGGTGAAATCTCACAAGCAAAGCATGAGCAGCCTTCACCACAGTCACAACTGCTCTTCTGTTCTTCAAAACCAGCATCATAAGAATTGCATGGAGACTCTCATGCAGAGCAGGACACTGAAACAGAGCTCCCCCTCCACATGACAGCCAGCAGCCCAGGCTGCTCGATGGGATATGGCTGGCCTGCACGCCCAGCACTGCTGGGGTCTCAGGGAGTCCTTTTGGAAAAGTTCTGCCCCTTATTTCTGCCTGAGGGTTCCCAGTGAAACCATACAACTATGCATCACACATCCAGTGCAGGAGACAGAAAAACTCTACTTTGCTCTTCTTTATGTCCAACAAACATGGGAGGACCATTAAGAAGGTAAGTAGAAAGTGCATAAATGAACAGGTGCTAAGGAGGCAATCAGCTTCCATCTCAAACTTATCCAGCCCTGGCATGAGTTTTGTCAAACGGCAGTACTTAACAGAGATTGAGTTTCAAAGAGGAAGTTTCAGCCCAAACAGAGAACTTCAAGCTTTGATTTATTAAATGTGGGCGGGGGGAGCACACACACATGAAAAGCATCACTTTTGTGTGTACATTTTAGTACAAATGAAAAGAAGGTGAATTTAAAAGCAAAATGAAGTGAAACTTGCGTATTACTTACGATAATCAGTGTGGATCTCATCTATTTCTTCCTCTGTTTGGTCCTTTGTGAAGGTCAAGCTCTACACAAATCACACAAATGTTTATTTACAGAAACAAAAAGATGATAAAGCTACATACTTTAAAACTAGAGACTTAAAACTGGAAGAAGGATCAGCTGTCTGTTTTTCCCCCACCAGCTCTTACCATCTCATCCACAAACAGTAATATATATTTAAAGCACATATGCATGCTGTCTTGCTTTGCTTTCACAAAGTCAACAGGACTAAGTCAAGCCACCCCATATAACACCCAGCATGTGTGGACCATAAAATATTTCCTAATACTGTGCAACAAACATGCTCCAAAAGTCACAAAAGTATCATATGTCATGGGAAAAGAACAGGCGCTATTGCTGATACGGAAGCAAGGAATTTGCTAGCTAAATCCTAGAGAATTCTAGGAAGGAAAATATTCCCCACACTGCCATGGAGGGTCAAAACCCTCCAATATGACCAAGGGAAACATTGCTCAAGAATTTTTATTGCAATCAAAAAAATGCTCCTACTTAAATGGTTTGGGCATAGGAACATCAGCAGTACACGAAGAACTGCCCACGACAAATGAGTGGTATGAGAAAATCATGTTGATTACAAGATGGTATATGCAAATTCCAACACACAACCCGGGAATATGGGAATTCCCATAATAAAGTGGTAGGCAAACATGTTCATTGCCCACTCTGCAATTTCCCCTAGCCATCCCCTGCTTTGAGAACAAAGAAAATTAGCTTACATTTTCACTGGTTTTATTAAATTCAAGCTGAATCCGAATCTTCTCATTCTTTTCCAGCTCTTTAACAACCTCTGCAACTGTTTGAAAATACAAGAAAGAGGTCATTAAAACAGGAGCTGTTAAATAAAAAGATGTAACAGCACTGAATGAAACTACCATGAATTTAAATTGCAAAGAGACAAACGGGCATTAGCTCTCTGACAGTGAAAACTCAGACTCCAGGCACAGGCAAATCCAAATGGCATGGTTTTGCACCAGTGCTCAGTGGGTGTTTGTTCATGCAGAAGAACTGCTCCCATCTGCAGCAGCTGAGCACCAGAGGCAGCACCCAAGACTCAGGACCAGGAGGCAAGGTCAGGAGCCGTGGGCCTTGGCCACGGTGCCTTGCAGCAAGCCCCATGGTGCTTGCTGGCAGCTGCCTCTCAGCCGCCTCCTGGCCTGTTGCTCTCACTCCCTTTGTATTAAATTCATGGGAAAATGTAGTCTTTTCAAATCCTATTTGAATCTTACTCTAGCATACTGTAGTGTTTCTGTTGCGCACAGGCATGTCTTTTATAAAAAGAGTTTCCATTTGATAATGTATCTTTCAATGGAAGATAAAATAATGACATCTACTGTTTATCTTATTTTTACCTCCAAGGACTACCTTCCAAGGCAACACAAAACTGTCTGCAGGCTTATGTCCAAAAACCCATAGTCCAAAGATGAATTACAACCTACTCTAACGATTAAGTCAGACACCTCAAAAGGATATAAACAGACATAACTCTGTTTGTTAACATTTTAACTAAAACTACAGCTATGCAGGACCCTGCAGGGTTTATTCTGACATTCACTTTCACAAATCTATTTCTACACCCAATCATTTTCACAGAGCTACTAGGGTACATATTAATTTTTATTAATATATAGTAATCTCAATATTAATATATTGGTAATAGTCATAATTAACAATAAATATAATATTAAAATGTTCATAAATATTAATTTATTAAAACAAACACTTTCACTAGACAGTAAAGTAGCCAGAGAACAAAAGCTTATTAAGCTGTGAAGCAATAAAACCTGTTCAAAACTGGTTTAAGCAAAATCCAGGAATTTGGCACCTATGCTTCCTCAGAAGCTCAGCTATTTGTATTATATAGTGACCTTAGGTTCACTGCCACCACTGAAAATGCCTGTCTGCATCTTAAGTGCAAGTTTAATAATTCACCCTTTATAAATAGGTACTGAGCCAGAACTCAGTAGAAGTTTTGCATTATTTAGGGCAAGCTTGGAGGAACAACACAGAGACTTGGTGCTACTTCATCACCAGCATCAAGTGAAGAATTGCCCCAAGAGCTGAGTACCTCCCAGCATGTTAAAGGACTAACAGAGAACTGCCTGTTCTGCACAGCATCAATTCTAGCACGCCTTGAGCAGACATGAGGCTCCACTCGAACCAGCATCCACTTCCCACACCAACCTTGCTGCGGTGTAATGGCAGCAGTGTGTTCCCAACCCCATGACCCTTCCTTTCCCCTCACCCCGAGCTGCCGCAGCACCCGACCAGCCCACTCCTCACTTTACTTCAAAACTGCTCTGCTCCTGTTTAGCCATCAGACAACAGCGTACCTCCACGGCCTACAGCAGCTTTACGTCTACTCCTGCTGCTGGGGGAACTCAGAGAGGGACTTTGAGAGTGTTTAACTAAATTTCCGAGATTAACATAAATCACAGCATGATTGAAATTCTGATACAAGAGCTGTTCTCTCAGACTTAAACAACAAACTCCCTAAACTGATATCATTGCTGAAGTCAAACACAGTCTTAACTCTGTGTGCTGGTTCTCATCCCAGAGACTTTCTGAAGTCCTAGAAAACAATTTTTGAAAGCATTTATGTTTATTTTCCAAAGTGCTCAGGCACAAACTAAGCAGTGGCACTTGGCACCTAAATCACTTGGGCACTTAACCTTCTTAGTCAGTTCTTTAAATGGTTAAAGGAGCAAAATGAAAAAGCAAATAGTGTTGGTTGCAAACTCGCTTTTCTAATACACTTGCTCCCACAATCCAAGCCAAGAGCTGGCAAGTGAAATCAAGATTTCAAGCCTAAAGTTTGGATGCTAAATTCATATTTATAGTCCTCAGTGACTGACTTTATTTTTCAAAAAGCACTGCATCTGGTGGTTCTGCCTGTTTAATAAAGGAGATGAACACCAAAAACATACTTTATTTCTGAAATGCCACAGTAGAAGTTGTGGATATTCAGCATTTCTGACCATCTGATCACATACAAAACCACATGTGCATGGAGCTAACATATGAGCTTTTAATATTCACTTGAAATAAATACTCCCCTATACTGTCAAATTTGTTAAATGATAACCAACAAATTAAGTGGGTTTTACTGTGTTCAAATTTGGCAGCCTTCTCAAAGGGTAATTCTCACCCCTGGCCCCAAATTATTCCTGTTACAGATAAGCAACAAATAGCAAATGTAAAGTTTAGCTGCGCACCTGCAGTCGTATGCTATCTCATTCACAGAGCTGCTGGACCTAGCTGTGCACGAGCAGCTCCTCAGGTCCCAGCTCTCTGCCCTGCCCTGCCTGCCCATTCAGTTCCCAACAGTCCCACTGCCAGCGAGACCAAAAATTTATCTGGTCCAAATAGTTTCTGAGCCCTTCAATACACACAAAAACATTCAGAATTGTTTACAACTTCTGGAAGAAGTGGTGAACTTGTGCTTCAGGAGTTAAGTCTCTCCGTAAACATGAAAATTAAAGAGATCAAACTGAGGATGAGGAACAGTATTTCTCATCTCTCTGCCTTTGAAGTAACCAAGACCAGCTCTCGCCAGCAGCAGGACTGAACTATTCTACAGACCTAGCAGACAGCAAGCTACATCCTCAAACCAGTGCAGAACATGCAATACCAGCTATATGAGCATTTCCAGGACACTAACAGCTGCGCAGCTCCCAGGAGAGTAATATCATACCATGATCCTGTTAGAAATTTCTTTAAAAAGAATGTTTGCCATGAGCTTCTAATCAAATAGAAAATAATATAACTATAAATCTGATGTCTATCTCTCACCCACACACACCAGTGTATTTGTGCTGTTACTTATATCACCTGCAGAACTGAATTGAGAGGTAACAAATGACACATCTTTTTTAAAAAGATGCACATTTTCACCTTGTATAAAAGAGGATATAACAAGATGAGGTGGTACAATTCTCCCTCTAGCTCATACATGCTATTCAAAATTTAAAAAACTACCACACTGCCTACAAAACCAGGCAGCAGAAATACGCTACTCAGATCTCATCATCCCTACTCCAGTGCTGGCATTTTCCAAGCATTAAGCCTGAGCACATGCAAACAACAGACTGCTGTTTAAAGGAAGTTTATATGGCACTCACATTAGATACTAAAACACAATCTCCTTATATATAGCATTAAACAGCTGTATGGGGTAGTCTTGAGTTTAATTGTATAAAATTGCTGCCAAACACCTACATTGATATAAATTCCAGCAAAAGATTACCACTTTCTTATTAATTCATTCTACTCTTACCTATCATCTCCAAAAAGAATCTAATTTTGAAATTAAATCGAATAACAATATAGAAGTCTCAGTGTATAGGAGGAAGAGAACAAATTCAGAACAAAAGATGAATTTATAATCTATTCACTTACTAAGAACCTCAGGCATTTCCAATTTTTTGACTAAAAGCCTCAGAGTCTAATTTGGAGGCACTCATTAAAATACAAAGACAATAAAAACACAACATTTTTCAGAACAGGGCTAGTAAATCAGGAAGTCTCAAAGAATTTCAACACAAATTTACATCTTGCTAGATACTTCCAGATTATAGCAACACACTTCTGGTTTTCATTGAATTTCCTTTTTTTTGCATTGATCTTGATTTATATAAGATAAATTCTTCCAGCTCCAGTTTTCCCAGATATTCAAACCAGCCTTATTCCTACCCTGAGAACTAAGAGAAGGAGCAATGCATACAAATAGTTTGCGATGGTAACAACTTCCCTATAATTTCTAATTTACCTGATTTGGGATTTAGAGAATCACATTGAGCATTATACATGTGCACAAATTCTTGGTGTCTTTTAATAAGCTGTTGTCGGGTCCCATGGGTAGACAGACCATGTTCCTTTAGTTTCTTCTTCAAATCACGATCAGAGAGCAAGTTGTAAACAACTTTAGACATAGGCTTCCTTTTGTGAGCAGAACTGCAAGAGGAAAGGAAACAAACTTTTTTTAATTAATACTCCTATGAAAATCAAAATACTGACTTACATTTTTACAGGGTATTTCACCCACTCTGGGTAAGAAATACCTGCAAGAATTATTTCAGCTATGACAGACACACAACCAATTACACAGTGTATCACAGATGCAACAGCAATAGCTCTAGGAAGCCAGAACACTTTTTCCATCCACCACAAAGAAAATTTCAAATGTGCAAAAAAGCAGTAGGTCTAGTTTGATTTTCTTTAGGAAACGATGCAAACACTACTCATGTAACAAGTACTGCAGCTCAGTTTTTAGTATCTACAGCAAAGGCTTCAGAAGCACATCAGCAAACACAGTATTGTTCATCTTCATTAGCCTTCATTCACTCTGAATTCAAAAGGAAGGATACTGAATTCAGATTGCTGAAATCGGTTTTCCACCCAAGGACTGTCCATGTCTTGCCTGAATCAGTTGGTGAAATTTTAAAAGCATTACAACTGCAAGCCAAAATGTGAATTAGGAGATTTTTCAACTTTCTGAGAAAATGACTTCGAGAAAGATAGTCATGTACCTGAAAGCAAATCTGTAGTTCCCATCTAACAGAAGGGTAGTTTGGCAATACAGAAAGTGACATTAAAGAGAATTAATAATGGTCTCAGACAAGTAACATCTAAAACCAAAATTCACTCCTTCACACTGCCTTATGTCAGAAGAACTCAACATTCCTGGCATAGCTACGGAAAACATCTTAATTACAGGAAACTGCTATAGAAAATTCAAGTCCTGCTACAACTTTTGTCATCTAGAATTAGCAGAACAGTTTCTTTCTGCACAAATTAGCTCAGTCTTTCCTACTACACCTCCTGGTGAAATACACTCAAACTAGCCAACAAAATCCGTCTACTGCCTCACTCATCTTCTACAAATTAAATAATTTATTAGTTACCGAAGAACAGCATTTAGTTAGACACTTTTCTTCCTGCAGCAAATTAAAGTTCACCTGCACTGTTCTGAATTACAGAGAAGTTAACAGCTTTCCATTGCAAAAGCATGAGACTTATTTGAAAACTGTGTTCAGCACTTTCAACTTACCACATTGAAAATAAATTTCAAAGTAAAAAAAAAAAGCTTACACAAAAATTGTCATTAATTCATGTACTCTCATATAGCCCCTGTAGAATAGCTAGCAAAAAAAAGACACGTTACCACAATATACTCTTCAGAAAAGACTTTTTTCAGATTCTTTTTGGAAATATAAAAAAATTCATTGAATAATTAAATCTTTTGAAAGTCCTTAAAAAGCTTTCACCAGCAGCATGACCTAGAAGAGTGACAACTGCTTTGGGAGCAGACAGCTACGTGAAAACAATTCACAACAGGTTTGAATCTTAATATTGGTGGGTTTTTTTCCCCATCCTTGAGAAATGCAGTGTTCTTTGTGAACATAGACTTACCTGTTGTAATTACTCCGGTGCAGGTTTTGGGGACTAAATTATCACTTCCGCTGAAATACTACTTAACTTAACATAGCATGCCATGTGCTCCTAATTTGAGAATAAACAGAGCTAAAATTCCTCAGAGAACTACAGATATGCTGTTACTGAAACCCGAACAACACTGCCATAAAACAAATACATTGCCAAAAAGCCAGCATTTAACACACAATAGCCAGTCCCTAAGGAGAAGTATCTTGCATGATACTTTCTTAAGATCCAAGTAGTCTAGATAAAATAAGCAAAATTTTGAATTCTGTTAGGGACATGGGCTTGACACCAGAGAAAGATCTGGCTTTTATTTCCATTCATTAAGAACAGAGAAAACACTAAAAACATCCCAAATGAAAATTAAAATGTAACATCAGATTTCAATAATAATTTACCATTTATTCATCTTCAAAGTCCTTTAGCTTACAGATTGCATTCTAAGCATGACTGGGCAAAATAAGAGCTTTAACATAAAATTACTTTCTAATTCAAGGTTCAGAGGAATTAGAAATACAAGCATGCAAGTAAAACCGCATGCAGTAAAAGTCCCTCACAGTTCTTAAGTCTGAGCAGTTAGAAATAATAATGGCCTAAATTTATGCTAGTAAGTAAAACAAACTGAAATCTACACTTCTGATGTGAATGTGGCGACCGTGACAAATTCTAGGGCGGAGGCAAAAAAGTCAAAGGCATGCATTAATCTCATGGAAATTGAGATCTTAAAGAAACAACCTTGACTGGGGCAACTTGAAAAGAACCACAGTGATCAGAGTAAGATGCAATTTTTATTTTTTAACTTGACAGCTAGTGAAGCAATTGTCTTTTGGCCCATCTGAATTGAGGGAAGCAATTCATTCACGAAGTGAAAAATGGGAATAAGTGTTATCTAAATAGAATTTTAATGCTAGCAAGCAGAAACATGATGAGAATAATGTACAGACTAAGTTTTACTCCCTGTGTTGAATTCTTTAAAACATTGTCCAGTGTTTTCTTGCCACTAAAAGTCAGAAAGTTATATACATACCTTCTTGAGAGGGGAAAATCACCACTATCATATTTATACAGTGATTTTAGGGTGATCTACAGGGCAGGTAACCAAGAAACAAACACAATCCACTGTATTATAACCCATCAACTAATATTTCTTATTTCAGCAGTGCAGAAAAATGGCTACATGAATATGAAAGTTATTAAGGTTGTTTCTTACCTTCTGAGGCAGTCCTTCTTCTCTTCTCTTGTCAAGCAGCTATCCAGATGTTTGTTTATATATTGCTCTGGAATAGCAACCTGACAAACAGGACAATCCACTGAAAGCAAGGAAGAAGGAATTTACTAGTGGGTATATTATGCAAAGAGCAAATGCTTTAATCTGAAAAACTAATTGTTGATTGAAGAAAATGAAAATCCAGAAATCCAAATTTCTTTTTTTGAAAAAGATCTAGCATGTCTATCCAGAATCTTCATTTTCAGCTCTCATTTTCATTCCAGAGCACGTATTTCCCTCTCTGTGTAATATCAGAATAGCTCTCATCTTCCCTGCAGTCAGATGGAATGAAATCTCTTAATAAAAATCTAGAGTAACACACATACTACACGGAAACATAGGGGCTAAGATAAACTTAAGCATATTTCCACGCTAATGTTTTTCACTTTTGCAGTATTTCACTCCTAAATAAAGGAAGCTGCTTCATTTTTATAAAACAGTATAGCACAAACTTTATTCATATTAACATAATGTCCCAATCTATGGCTCTCAACAGGACTGTCAAAACATGAGTTAACTCAGCCTCACAGGAATCCTATGATCCAACCATGCCTCATACTCATTTCTTGGTAGAGATAACTAGATTCTGTGACCTGGGCTCAGAGGCTCACAAACGCCCTATAGCATAGTCCCACCCAACTCAGAATTCTTCTTGCATCATATTTTCAAGAACCACCTAACAACATTACCTGTAAAGACAGTCAAAAAACACAGACTTAAAATATTCATCTTTAGCAATCACACTATGTCAAAAACAAAAGGCTAAGTTTAAATGAACAGTATGAGAAAAAGATCCTTTAACTGCCATTGTCTGTATTAGTATGAAGGAAGTCGGTGTTAATTTAAAAGACAAAACAAAAAACAACCTATGCAAAACACTGTGAAACGTTGTGGGAATTGAGTTATCTGGTAACATTGCTTTGCAATTCCTGACTCCCATGACATCACATTCTAGTCAAAGGTAAAAAAAAAAAAAAAAATTTGGGACAGTAACATAACACAATAGTTCCGAGCAGTGTATTATTGTATTTGAAATTAACATTTCAATTCTTAACACAGGGACAATACTTACTAAGACCACTTCAGCATTGGCTCATTTCAAGTCTTTCATTTATACTGTTTGACTGACTACTTTGCATTTGTGGAAATAATTTCAATGGAATGCATGCTCGAGGATTTAATAAGGTCATAAAATGGTAAGCAAGGGAAAATTTCAATTGCTCAAGAATAAATGAGCAGTAAAATTTCATATGAGTTTTAAATTACTAACGCAAGCAAGTCTGATGCATGAAACTAGGAAACTTCTGGCTAAGTTGATGCCCTTTTCATAGAGCTACTTTTCTGGCTGTATTACATCTTTAAGTAGTATTTACCCAGCTAATGAATAAATATGAACTTCAGAGTTCCAGTTGAATAAATTGTTAAACAAAAGAACAGATGAATATGAACTAATAAGAATCAGCGTTGTACTCCTACATGGTCTTTTATTTTAATTTAGGCTTTTTAATTGGGTCAATAGGATGACTGCCATCATGTCAAAACTAAGAGTATTCTCTCATTTTATTGTAGTTTATTAGTATAAATGGGCATTTTCATGCTTCAAAATAAATTAATCTTAACACTGTAGAGTTACAGAAGAATAAAGCAGATTACTTTCTTCTGGAGAGTGTATGAATAGGAATATTAATAAAACCGAAGCCACGATCATTTTGATTGTGGGTACATCCCTCAAATAACAAACACATTATAAAATACCTTGCTTCTGGGTACTTAAGGATAGCAGAGCAGAATGAACATCAATGTTGTTTGTCTAGTCATTAAGGGGAAGGAGAAGAGAAAATGACTTCATTTTTTACTGAGTAAGTCTGTTGTGCAACTATTGTTTTTTAGAGTTGTTACTCAAAGCAAAGGAATCTGTAAGAGTTGAACTCCATTTAATTACTTGGCATCAGCCCAAGCTTTCTCATCAAGAATATGCTTGCAGCAGAGCTGTGCCACATAAGCAGTAATCTGAATGAAGCATAGTCCAGTTAAACGGGAAGCATCTGAACATGCCAATGCAGATCAGAACAACGCAGAGAAATGAGATGAATGCCACGTACGGAAGGTACTCTCTAACACATACGGCCAACCTCAACCATGGACTTGGGGAAGAGAACAAGACAAAACCAAAAATTAAGCATCTCACCTTTCTTGACTACTTTTACCACAGATGTAGAAGGCTTTTCATGACTTTTGGTGCACTCAGGACTCTCTTGTGATCCCACTTCATTGTCTTTACCATCAACCTCTGCAGAACTGCTGTAAAGGTTATGGTGTTCCTCAGTTTTGAAAATCTTCTGATCTGTTCCTGCCAAGCCATCTGCCCTTGTCGAGGTGCAATCTTCTTCCTTTCTCAAGAAATTGTCGATCACTGGCACCTCTTCTTTTACAACTGGCCAAGAAACAGGACTCCTAACGTGGCTTTTGCCAGCTGAACGCCTGCTACAGGCCAATGGAGATGAAATCAGTGGAGTATCCAAGACCAACTGGAACAGCTGTTTTCTAGAAGCATCCAGAAGACAACATGCAGTTAGCTACATTGGACAGTGTTAGCTTTTTCTTTGAGAAGAAACCAGAACGAAAACAGATGGAGCTCTTCCTCCATTCCTTCCTCCCTCTTGGCCTTGCTCCCATGCAGCGCTAGGCAATTAGCTAGCCCACATAAACCAGGAGCAGAAACACATCAGCTGAGCCTCACCACACTCTACAAAATCTAAGAGTTATCTTCCTGACTTTCAAATAAAATAAATTACATTTTGCAAATGTAATAAAATGCCTCTCAAAACATCACACAGAACACAGTAAAGAACAAAAAGCTTTCCCCCTTACTTGAAGATGGTAGATGATCATTTTCAAGTCAGGGTACTTCAAGCACTGTGTCACATAGCTTGTGACAGAGGCTCCTGAAACCAAAGAGCTTAGCAGAAATTATTGCCATATTCCTTCTGTCCCTCCTTACTGTGGGTCTCCTTAGCACAGCTGCTCACTGCCCACCCAGCTGACCACACCCCCTGCACGCTTGCCAGGTCTTGAGATTTAGCATCTGGTAACCCAAACTATTTCGGACCCGTTTCATCAATGATCAGCCAAAGAGCGCAAACCCTCCATTCTTTTCTCATATAAAATAAGGGGAAAACATAACCACCCTCAAGAACAGCCCACTCAGCCCACCAGAACACTTACCACAGATCTACACATGCTTTACCCCCCACTTGTACTCCTTACCCTCCTCAGGGCTAGCAAATGTCAAGACATGAGTTAAACAGAAGTCTCTTTTCAAAGAAATGACTTGTATTTTATTGGCAGGAACACAGTAGCAGCAGAAGGCTCATTTTTCTGTCCGTCTCATTAGTACTTTTAGCTTCAAGGTAATACAAAGTCACAGTTGTCCTACTCAGGCAGTTGCATAAGACCTTAAAGACATGGGGTTTTTTCCTACCCCTGTCCCAGGGCTTTTTGCAGAATCCTCTTTATTTTACTATGTATTTTACACAGCTCAATCTAAGATAAATTAAACCAGAGACTGCATTCTTGGCAGGGAGATGGCATAGAAATGCAGCTGTCTAGTCTGTCCACATACTTTGTGGTTCACTTTCACTCCTGTATCATCACAGGTAGAGGAAAGGCTTTCCCAGCTAACATCAACGATGGACAAACCACACATCCCACTCTTATCCACTACTACTTTGATAAGAGTCCTCCACATCCTGAGGGTCACAATGAAGCTGGTATCATCCAGCCAAAAACAGCCGGCAGAAGTACACAAGCGGTCATTAACCTCTTCGCCTTTAATTCACTGCTCCATCATCCCTTCAACCTGCACACCATTCACTTGCTGAGCTCTCCAAGAGTGCAAAGCCTGCACAGCTGCCCAGGTGCTCATCAGCTTTCTCCCTGACCTGCTGCCATTCTCACAACCACCACCTGCCAAGCCTCAGCCTGCTGCATCGTCAGAAGTCCTACCCAAAAAAAAAGGCAACTACCAAAAAAAATGTTACCATCTACAGGCTCTGACAAACTGGGACAGCTTACAAAAAATGGAAAATCTTAAAGGAAAGGCAGCATTTCTCTAACAATGAATAGAGGAGATGGGTTCACCTCTATGAGACACTCTGTCCCCACTTCCTAAGTGGGGTAGGGAATACCTTCCCTTCCCTTCAATTTGTAGCAGGATAACACAAGAGGGAGGTACAGGAATAGGGATAGCCTTTGAGGATGCTGAGGAGACTAAGAGCCTCTACACAGAAAGGCACTAGGATTTTTACTACTGCCATTGCTCAGCAAGTGCATGCTCTTTATTTAAATGTCACAGCTCTACAGATTTGATTGTGACACAATTCACTGCACCTGAGGTGACAAAGACTGTAAAAGTTGAACAGCTGTGGTTCCTCAACTTGCGAAGTTTTTAACTCAGGAAGAATAAGTAACAGTTGAAATAATTTGGATTGCTATTCCTTTTCTGTAAAGAAAAAAATTTAAAAAGAAAAAAAAAAAGGGGGACTGTGGGTGATGTACCTACAGAATGTGCACTGCCATAAAACTATTTCTTACAGCACTTTCATGAAGACACAAGGCCCATAAGAAGTCTGAAATGCACCTATGCTCTCAGATTTTACAGCTGAAGACATTTCAGTATTGGGTAACTACTTAGAAAACTTTTCAGTCTTTTCAGGTAAAGATTTTTCATGTCTAAGAATAACAGGTTAAGAACTGTCTGTACATATATCCTTTAAAAACAAGTTCATGTAAGTCACAAGGTAACCCCACAATTATACTAGTTTAAGATAAGTTCAGCATCCCAAACACTCTGCAGTGGTTATGTTCAAGTCAGATTCAGAAGCTGGATTTGGAGTTTAAACTTCCTGGATTACTGGATGTAATGACCACATCTGTCAGCGGGAATTCACATCTGTCCCAAGACTCTGACTTTCTGCAGTGCAAACAAGCGCAATTAGGTGTGGCAGCAAAACTATGCTTTTCTGTCTGCTCATGCCTAGATATGGACTGGAAGTTTTTAAGGTTAATTCCCTGGCTGACACAGAGTGGTCTAGCTACTGTTGGCGTAGGATCAGCTTCACGGGGAATCCAGGAGCAAGTTAATGGGAACATAAACAGAGTGCCTTCACACAGCTCTGTCCCACTCCTGCTTCACATTTGCTGTTCACGAGGGGTATATTTCCATACAGAAGTATCAGAAAGGTCTGACAGCATATCGCTGCTCACCACAGCCATTAGCAGCAATAATTGGTAGGCAAAGTATCTCATTTTACTGTAGATAAATGCACAGTATTCTTCAATTTAAAGATAACAAATTACAGCCTCAGAAGACTTGTCCCATCACAAATGGTTACATTCTATAATCAGGTTCAAAAGCAAACAAATTAGTTGCCTTTTATTCCTAATATATTTAGGCAAAGTTTAATCCTCAAAAGGATGCAGCTGGGTGTTCCACCAAAGATGTGCTCTTTTTTTTTTTTTGACATTTTTTCCCCTTTTTGAACAAGGAATTTATCTTTTGATTATGAAAAAAATGTCTATTTCTTCAGACTCCCCCAGGTTTTCATACAGGCAGCCTACCATTAATGTAGCTAATCGAAGTCAACATATAGTCTTATCATATTGTTCTTTTGGCTGTTAAGCAACTATTTTTACACAAAAGCCCAGCATCCTATGCTACAGCAAGCTAAATTCTGCATGGCTCAGATAACATAAAACAGATCCATAAGTACAATCATTTAGCATCATATCCGTTTAGTATTCCCATAAAGAACAATACAGCCCCAAAACGCAAAAATATCTGAACAATTAGCCAGTTGCCTATATTCATTGTCTTCATCTAGAGAACACAACTGATCTCCCTCATCTTTTCAGTGTATTTTCTATTGCTTTTGAGAGCTCTTCCTCTTGTCAAAGTAACACATTCTACTATTTGGAACCACCAATTACATCTGTTTATTTTTCCACAACATGCATTCACTAGCTAGAACATATTTCCCAGTGTGTTCACACTAGCTGACAACACTCTTAAAATTCAAACTTCACATCAGTTTATCTTTTCAGCAGACTCAAGACTGATTCATGTATCTTTTTCTTAACATTTTTTTTTCAGGAATTATCACAACAGTACAGCTTATAGTACCCCAAATTCTCTGAAGCAGACTTCAGTAGTCTTATCTGTCCCTCAGGAAGGCTACCAGGCCAAAACACATGTTTGGAGGTGGGCCTGGACCCGAACAGACTGCAAACCCAAGCAAGGGGCAGTTGACCAATTCTGATAAAGCCTGGAGGGAGGAAAGCAGCTCTGTGGCCAGCAGAAGCAGGCAGCAGACACAGAGCAAAAGGCTCAGAGTGCAAAGCTCAGCATTTTTGCAATGTGTCCTGTACATAAGGATAGACTTCTGAACTCAGGAGAGTTGCTCACGAGCTGACGGGACAGATTACCCAGATAGAAGACCATCTCACTTCAAATGCAAGTTGTTAATATTTGCATGAAGGCAGCCAGAATAGAGAAATCTTCCGAACAGAAATTTCAGGTTCTGTAATAACAGGTGTCTCAACAAAATACGATCTGGTATAAAACAAAGAGAGAAAATGAAAAAACAATACAAAAAACAAAATCTATCCTAACAATAATTTGATAATAAAGGTTGCTTTAATTACACCACTGGTCTACAAATAATCATACAGAGTTTTTCCTCGTGTTGAGGGATAAAGACTTACAAATAGACTTTCTGAAGGGATCTGATCTTGGCACAGAATCAATGGAAAGAACACTAGGACGAGAATATGAAAACTTGTTTGCCAAAACACACATGAAATCTCTGTATGCCTTTTTTTTTTTGGTGGGAAAATACAGAAAATGCTAGTACTAAATTCAAAAGAGAAGAGAAAAGTCCCAGACTGGCTTTTCCCAGAATGTGATATTTTGGGCCTGCTGAGCAGCTTCACTGGCTGTGTGATGACATCTAGTGGTCCCGCCAGATGGGCACCCCAAACCCGGGCACCCCAAACCCGGGCACCCCAAACCCAGGCACCCCAGGGATGGAAGAGCCAGAGCGCTGCAGGCACTCTTCGCACAGCCATGGGCTCTCTGACAGTACCTTTATCAACTGCCACTCTCCTCCCTCAATGCCAGAGCGAATTACTCAATTTCTCCTTATTCACAGAAATTCTGATAGTTGTTATAGGAGTGATTCGGACAAGCATGACTAGACTGGAAGATTTATCCATCATTCAGACACAGACAGCAGTCGAGAGAAAGCATGCAGTTGATGGAGAAGTCCACATCCTACCCATCACCAGACTGTCCGGCTCACTTAGAAACTGATTCTACTGGTAAACCTCAGGACAACACAATTTTCAAAAAGCTCTGCATTTTGTATGCAGTTTTCAACATTATCTATAATACCATTAAGAATTTAACACAGACTACTATCAGTTCTGAAAGGTTTTAGAAGATACAATTTTACCTTCCTGGCACAAAAAGAGTAAATGCATTACAGCTGACAAACCTCAGTTTAAGAGCACAAGCAGCACCCTTTGAAGGCTGAAAAGTGAATCAACAAGATGTTAGGGAGTCCTAACATGCACTCTTATAACCACTACCCAAATCCCTCTCTGAGACCCATCCTCTTTAATCGCTGCCTTGGGTTAGGACAGAGAGTTACACTTCTTTTAGTTTAACTAAAAATGGATGGTCATCTTAATACACTGTATACAGCATGCTCTCTCTGCCAGGCATGCTTTAATAAACAGTACAAACACCTTGTGAAATTTTTTTTCTTCAGATCTGCAAGACCCACAAAAAAAATTTCATTGTCCTCCTCCATCGAGATCCTGGTTCCCATTTTATGGTCCGTTTACTTCTCCCTTGCTGAAGCAGCTATGAAGTAGAGAAAGTAGGTGGGAATGTAGTGCTTCCACCTAAATAAATTCTGGGGAAGAGATGGAGTTGTGAATCTTCCTAGGAACAACTCACATAGGACGGTCCTAACTGTACTAAAGGACAATTTCTCTCCTTGAAATTCCTTCTCCAGTCTTCCTGGAAGTTCAATCAACATATTAGAAATGACAGTACCTGCTCTCTTGAGCACCCAGAGTAGATGTGTTTATTCCTCTGACTCACTAGCTGTCAAGTAACCCTGATTAGGAAACTAAGATATAAACTTGAAAGTAAAAACGTATGCATGAAAACACAGATAGTTTTCAGCAAGGAATAATTTTGTACTTATGGAAGTATAACTAATTTCTGTTGCTAAATTTTCTAACTAGGTGATGCAGAAACTGACAATTTTTAATCAAAATAATCTCTTTATGAGAGGACAATGAAATTAATTCCAAAACAACCCCAAAACTTTACATTTATTATCTTTGAAGACACTGGCCTCATTGCAACTGATAAAAACATTGTTCATAAAGGAAAGATGGCACAAATAGTACTCCCCGTCTTGCCCTCCCGACCTGGTCAGAGTGATGAATTCTGCCTGCAAAGCACAGCACAGGCAGCAGAGAGAAAGCTGAGCAAAGGTTGCTCTCACCCTGGCAGTAGCCTATGGGCATAATTGATCAGAGCAATGCACTCCCTTAACTCCCTCGCTGCTGAGGATCTTCATGTGCACTTGAACACAAGGGCAGGGCAATGTGAATTCAGACCTATCAAAGCCTATTCAAAACTGCTCCTCTACCCTTTCACACAGAATATAACATTAATGGGCCATAATGAATGGCACATCTTCACTTTTGCTGGGAAACATCAGGCTCCACCACTTTACAGGGAGGAAGCAGGACTCCCAAGACAATGCTCACTGAGCAGAAATGATCATGAAGGCTCTAATCCTGCAAACACATGTGCACAGGCTAAATGTTGAGCAAAAGTATAAATGGGATCAGCACGCAGGTTTATTTAGAATGATTTCCATTCCATGCACACACTGACCTTGGAGCACAGCTTTTACTTTGCTAAGTACTACCAACATTAACATTTTCTTTCCCTACAGGCCTGACTTCAGAAATGTGTTTGCATTTTGTGAAATACTGAAAAGATTTAAGGCCTAATTTTCATAAATGCTAAACTACCTGAGGCTCAAAGTCAAGTCAGGATGGACTTGAAGAGCTTAGCACATTTCAAAAATCAACCCCTAGACTTTGGATTTGTTTTGGGGAGAGCCAAAAGGAAACTTGGGGAAGGAGTAGGGGAGGACAGACAGAAGATTTGCCCTGTACCAATATTGCCAGGGCAGAAACCAACAATGCTCTTATGATTTAGTGATACTCATATCACATAACACTCTCCAGGCAAGTAGCATTCCCCTCAAACTCAGGACCATCTTCAAAGTAAATGCAATCCCAAGCTGAAAGAGGCACAAACACAGGGTGCCCAGCATCTGAAGTGACACAAGATTTACTTGCTATCTATATTCCTCCTATTACTCTGCCTTATTAAAGCAGTTATCTTAGTAAGCCACTTCTTGTTGGGCCTTTCTTACCAAGATCCAGCAAGAAGCCTGCACTGGCTCTCTCCCACCTCACCCCCCACCTGGTGCAGAACAGGACACTACAGCTTTTGTCTTATTGATTTAACTTTATGTTGTGAAATTGATTGAACTCCAAGTCACAGAAGGAAAGATTATTAAACTACTTTGACTGGTAAGATTTATACTGATCCATTAAAGCAGTCAAAAAAATTAACTTTTAAGATTCAATATCATAATGGATCCAAGTCAGCACTACTTGTTCCCTACAAAATTAGACATTACAAAAAGAAAAAAAAAAATATAGTAATCCATTTATCACTAGGAAACACCAAAGACAGAGTTCAAGCTAAAATAATGGAACTGTAGAATTTCAATTCTTCAAATAAAATCAATTCAATCTAATAGTGGTCATACAGAAGACTAGAACTTCATCACAGAGAAAGTCTGTCAAAAAAGCAAGCCATAAACCGAACTATGCTCCCTATCACTTACAAAGCCAAGAATCTCATTGACTTCAAGCTCCAAGTTCATTTCAGAGAAAAAGATGATAGTGTATTTGTCTCCCACAGACACAGGAATACCTGCAAAATACCTAGCAAATCATTGAGCTGCTTCTAATCAAAAGAAAACAGAGAGGTAATACAGGAAATCTCATATATCTAGTGGTAAGCATTTACTAAGTCATGCTTATTCTGTTGTTCCTGTTTTTTAAAGGGATGAGGAGATAAAAAATGAATTAAAACCAGAAAAGAAGATAAGAAATCCAGGTGAAAACACAATATTCCATTACTTCTCTCATCCAGGAACACTCACATTTGGGGTCCCTTAATACCTACATTTTTCCCATCCAGTGACTTCACCAAGAGAATTTGCTTGCAAGTTGACCATTCCCACCAGACAAAATCCTTCTGTTCAGAATTTCCCCTGCATACACAGGAAGGATCTTAGAAGAAAAGCTTTATTACCATTATTTTCCCCATAGAATCCTGGCACATCTGCTTGACTTCCTACATGTTGGAAGAGACTGTAACTTAAACAGCAGCTAACCAGAAGCAAAACCAAATTAAGCTTACACAACCCCAACACACCACCCGAGTGGACAGTAGTAACATTCAGCCAGAAAACTGTAGGATTTTTCCAAAAGCGTCACCATTCATGTCTGACAACGTTTCTGTGACACCACAATTTTTTCACTCAGTCCTCACGCTTCTCCTTGCTCTGCTCCTCTACAAGGACTCAAAGCCTGGTCACGCAAAGTAAGTCACACCTGCCTTTCCAGCTGCCAAACCAGAGAGAGTATTCATAAAATTAGAGTATACCTTGCAGAATTAAAGCTCTTTACTAGTTCATCTAATGTCCGGTTATTTTTCAGGTCAGATTCCGAGACTGCCTATTAAAAAAAGAAAGAAAGAGAAGGGGAAAAAAAAACCCAAACACAAACATTCGAATGCAGTGAAAACAATAAGTACCCAGAAAATGTTCAAGTGATCAATAATTTGTTTCTTGGATCAATGCCTCCACTACCCCCCAATAAAATTGCTATGTGAATGAAGATGCAAACTAAAATAACTGCCTTAGAATTGTAAGTCTGGGAAATAATAGGTAATAGATAAAACTGAAGCATAAAGCTAAAGCAGCAAAACCCAGTGTACCCAGTCTCCAACAATGCTTTATTGTAGCCCGTTTTAATTATTTTGAAAACCAAACCAAGGACCCCAAGAATGCAATAAGAACCTTAAGCAACAAGGCATGAAAACTGATGAAGGGAAATGTTAATCTTCTGATTATGGAATGAAAATATGAATTACGAGATGGCTTTGTGCATTTAACTCATACTTTTTAAACAATTTCTGATTTTCATGTCTCTGGCTGCCTCTCTCTGCTCTTCTTTTTTTACAAAGCTTTTATTAGTCTTGCTCATATCAATACCTGTGATTTTTAAGAAGGCAGTAGTAACATGTACTCCATCAAGTAGTCTGCACTTGTTTGAATGTTTAAAAACTAGCAAAGCTACAAATAGATCTGTTTTCCAGTCTTGAAAAGTCTAGTCTGGTTCATGCTTCAGAAACACAGAAGAAAATTACTTCTATTTTGCCAATATTCCTGAAGTGCCATTCATTGTTTTTAGGCAGCCTACCATTTTTAGGAGTTCAATAAAGCCCAATTGGCTTAAAATAAAAAGTTAGATGAAGGCCTAGAATAAATTGCATTCTGTGTTCTTTAATCAAAAAAGGCCTTCAAGTCAGATCTTAATAATCACCCACCTGCAGAGCAGGCCTAACCTGCCTGTAGTGCTTTTCACATTTAACTTAATTCTCATGGCAAACAGCTCCTCTCCCTGGCACATAACATAGTCCTCTCATCCCCAAAAAGGCTACATGGTACAGTCAGTGAGTTCTAGGACTAGGTGGTCTGTGGACACTTCTAAAGGCTCCTTGAAAGATGAAGTGATGCCACTTAATCACATAAAATTTAAGTGCTTAAATTTCAGCATTCATATTTTAAATGATGGTGTATTTTAACAAAGTAGGAGGCAATCTTAAATGTTTCACAACAGATTGCATACACAGCTCTAAGCCAAAACCCAGGTTTGATGCTCCATCTACTTCTGCCTATGCTGACAGAAGAGGAGCTCTGTACCAGGAGAATTCCAGTTGTAAGAGCACCACACTTTGCCCAAAGAGCTGCTCACCAAAAGTAAAGGTGGTAATATATGACCAGAATTAATTATTTAGCATAGTCCAAAGGGAAAAGGTCCTGAGATGCAACAAAAAAATAAAACAAAAACAAGCTGAGGAAAAAAAAAACCACTTACCACACAGCATGTTGGACACTGAGTTTTGTAGGACAAAAACTTGCGTATACAAAGGGAACAATCTGGAAAAAGGAAGTACGTCATTTTTAAACAGGCATTCTTCCAAATGCAGTTCAACATCTTTACTAGTAAATTTCCTTTTTGTAAATATATGCAAACTATTCCACAAAACACCAATATTGAAAATATACCATTTTTCCACAGTATTAAGATTATCGTTGTAGCCAAAAAAAAAAAAAAATCTGTATTTTATGAAAGCATCTTTCAACATTTAATCTCAGTCCCTCTGTCAAGACGTTTACTTTTGTTTCTTTAACACAAGACAAGAAAACCTTAGTCTGCTACCACCACTAAAAAGCAGTGTGTTTGCACTGCTCACTCCCCCACCACTGCTTTTTTTTTTTTTTTTTTGACATGACTGATGTTGGATCACTTTCATATTCCTGCATAGCCCCAGACAAACTCTCTAACCCCTCTTTTTCCCAGGTGTTTCTTCCCCTTTCCAAAACGATACCATCCTGTTGTTGAGGGAAAAGGTTAAAGAGGATGGGAAACAGCACTGGAACGCTAACTGAGAGATGGCTTAAATGTTTCCCAGGAAAAGCAAGTCATACCACCATCACAGGATGGTAGTGTGTTTGGTGAAATATGCCATAAGCTTCATTTTGTCACAGTGTATTCCTGAATTTATTCTACCTTCTCTACTTATCTGTGAGCTTTCATAACCACTTCAAGATACAAAAAGTTTCATCACTCTCCAGCAAAACAGATGCTCACTTACTAGATCATTATTGGTCAGAGCCTCAGCACTTAACACATTTAGCAACAGCTACCTAAGCAGATATATTTCAAAGACTCTGTGAAGGAGTCTGAAAAGCAGCAGGAGCATTCATGCACTAATTCAACACTTAAAACTGCAAATCCATCAAAATACTCAAAAATTACATTATATAGTAAGATGTGATATGGGGGGAAGGAAGACATTAAAAAAAAAACATCAACTGAATGAACATGAACCAACTTACAGATCTAGCCTGCCAACATCCGACACCCAGTCACCTTTAGTAAGCAATGGGACTGACCTATGTTTGCAGCCATCACTGCTCATAGCCAGAGTAGCTGGAGTATGTTCAAGGACAATTAAGCTCTTAATCTTAACGTTTGTGCCTAGGGCTGTCTCTAGGCCCAGGCAGAGAAGACAACAGGCTCACAATTCTGTCCCCAGCCCCTTCTACCCCACTCGCCTCCTCTTCCAGCGGCTGCTCCCAGCACCAGCTCCATCCCTTGCTGGAGGGCAGCACCCTGATGGCAGAGGCAACAGAATGCAGAGCTCAACCACCGCCTGCCACCAACCCCTGGCTGGTTTCAGCCGTTGGGGCTCCTCAGGAGAGCAGCACATTTTAACACCCCTGTGCCAGCGGTCATACCCACAAGAAGCAGACCTGGCAGTGATAACCTCTTACACTACCTCAGCATGGATGGACAGTGTTTGTACTCTCAGACTGAAAGTGTAAGAAATCTCAGGGCCACAATCCACTCTGCCCCTGGTGAGATGTCCATATTAGAGAAGACATTCATCTTCAGATGCTATTATTATGTGAAAGAAATACGAATGGTACATCTATTCTGCCACTAAATATACAATCTGAAGCACTGTGAAAGTTAAACACCTGCTGTCAAGAGAGCTACTGAATGCTACCAGTCAGCCAAGAAGGAGCACAGGAGGAATTTTAAGTAGCTATAGGTGCAAACAGATTATAGAGATGTCTGGAAGCCCTGCAATAGATCATTAAGAAAAAGAGGAACAGAAAAAAAATTTGCAAGCAAATAATTACTCATTAATGGCAGAGGGCTTTTTGCTGCAATTGTACAATCTCAGTGGACTGAAGAGATTACACAGAGACAACTGAATAGGAAATACTTCACAAAAATCTTGATTTATTATAGAAAACTTAGGCTTTCTGAAATTTGCAGGGGGAAATTAAATGTGTGATCTGTTAAAAAAAGAAGGTAGACAGATTCTTTTCAAAGTTAAGGGCCTCTGAACCCAGCTGTGTCACAGGCAGGCTCTAACACCAGCTACTGTAGAGAACTTCCAACGCTCCCCACAATAAATATGCTGTTTTCAATGGTGATAGTTTTGCCAAGCTAAACTAAATTTCATTGCCAAGCTACAATGTCCTCCTTCATGTAAGGAAGAGGAAGTACTATAATTTCTGAACAAAACAATTATAAGCATTTATTTTAATGTGAGAAAAGGCAAGGTACTTCCCCCTAATCTCAGTCTCAGTAAACTGCTTCACTACCACGTTCCAGCAGATATCAGCCTGAGGCAGACAGAGCAGCATGGAAAATTTTAGGTCATAACACTTAATGCTTTCTGCCATACAGCTCTGCATTTTTTTTTCTGCCCTCAAGATGTTACGAAAGATACTTAAATGAAGAATTGTAGGAATAGGTGGCATTTAAGTGCATTAATCCAGACGATGTGTTTGTGCTGTCAGAAGGTTGCAGCTGTAACTGCACAAGAAAAGGCTGCTGGCTGCTTCACAGCTTCCATCCAAAAGAGCTCCTCAGAGGCAAACATCCTTGCTGGCTAAGCCACAAGCAGAACTGCTACATGTTTTATAAAGGAAATGAAGGATCGGTAATCTCTGCTCTACATGCCAGTAAATAATAAATGGTCAAATGGCGACTTGTCTCTGAAACTCTAAAGAAGAAAACTCTTTTCTGGGGACATTTTTCAATAGTTTTCTGTCACTTAGCTAAGGTGCAAGAGGATTTTGACAGCCCATAGAGCCCACAAGGTCATTCTCCAGTGTTGTGTTTCCTGGGATAGATGTATGAAGACCAAACCATTCACTCAAAATTTCTTTGAGTGCACCTTCTTCGGCCCTACCTGTCTGCCTTAATCTGTCAACTGAATGACAAGTCAGACTTAAATGGAGTCACAGGGCCAAGACACACTCCCATCACAGCCACCCCTGTACTCCCTGGAATGTATGGCAAGGTGCGTTTACATGAAATGTGTTAATTCTAAGTTCCACAAAATCACAGGATAGAGGGAAGAATGACACACCCCCCCTCTGTTGGCTTGCCACAAGTGCCCCATTTACCTTTGCTCCTACTCAAGCAATTTTTATTAAAACTGATGTTTCTGTGCAATTTTTATTAAAACTTCAGTAAGTTTAAACTGCAACCACCCAGTCAACAGTGATGTATTATTGACCCTCCATAAAATACCTTAATCGCAGGGTAGGAGGCACAGATTTACAATGAAAAGGAAGTAACAGTTCTGTGTTGACCTCTATGAATTTAGTCAGTACTCATGAAGTTAGGACAGCCCCGCCTTGAAATTCCTTCAAGAGCAAGGAATTTCCAGACAGCCCTTGCGCGCGAGAAGGAATTGTGCTCCTACCGCCGTACTTACAGTTATGCGAGCACTGGGGAATCATCATCGCGATGCTGAAGTAATCAAAGCATATCCCACACCGCAACAAGTCATCCACTGCCTGCAACAGAAAACCGAGGTCACCGAATAGCTCACGGGGGGGACATCCTGGGCCAACGGCAGGCTAGCGAGCGCCCGCTTCCAGCCCCGTCGTCCGTGCCTGTACGTTCTCACACCACGCACGTCAAGTCAAATCGCCGGCACCAGGCGAGGGCGGAATTCAGTCTCAGGGCCCTTACGGTCGGGAGCCCCGCGGCGGGGCCGTGCCGGGCCG